GGATTTGGACGCGGGTGTTTTTCTGTTCTCGGCTGTATCGGCTCCGAGAAGAGTGCACCTGGCTCTAAGCGACAGCTTGTCTTCGTCCTCGGATAGCCTGAGTTTAGTTACGCCGCAGAATTCAAGCATGCGGGCTTCTTCCTCTAGGTTGAGCACGGAGTTCCAAGCATTTGAGATGAAGCGCAAGAGATGCTTTGGATTTATCGTAGCTGTATTGGGCTGTAGGGTTCTGAGGTGCTTTTGAAGAGACTTGAGGACCAACAAAGCGATAGGAGATAGCTGCGGCGCTTGAATAGTGGACTTGCCGCCGTCTATCGGGTGATATTTCAACTCAAGATGCTGGGTTGTCTTCTCGTCAATGCTGGACGGCCGTTGAGCTGCGTTTTCAATAGCGAAGGTGGCCGGGTGGAAGACGAGTTGAAGTTGCTCCCGATAAGACATGGTCAACAAAGGGCCTGCGGGTGAGCCAGAGGAGGTGGCTGATACGATAGACCAGCCTGTCTGATGCTCAATCTTCCGAACGGATTCTATCAAGGTTGTGAGTAATGGTCCAGCATATATAATCTTCAAGGGAGCGAGGAATCTTACCCTTCAATTCACTGATTTCCTTGGCGCTCCAGCCATGACACTCCTCTTTTACCCTTTCAGCTTCCTGGATCTGCGCCAAGAACTCGGCTTTGAGTTCCGCTCCAGACTCAAGGCTGCTGGTCTTCTCTTTCACCTGGTCTTGAAGCTCCTGCAGCTGCTTTTTCTTCAACTCGATCTCATCCTCTAGGCTGGAGAGCTTCTCCCGCGCATTTCGCAGTTCATCCTGGTCACAACTCTCCATCTCATCCGCAAGTTGCTGCAAGTTCGCGGCCTCCTCTTGCAGTGCAAATTGTTTGTCGACGAGAGAAGGTACTACGCCATCGAGCAGGGTCTCATATTTTGTTAAGAGATTGCCATCCGTCTTCATCTCATCCACATGCCGGTAGAGGCCTTCTTTCAGACCTTCAAGTAGCTTCATACGCCATTCGTACCATGTGGCTTTGCTCATTAATCTAGCATGGGTCTTCACATTCCGGAACTGGTTGTCCATCAACAGCCGGATGTCTGGCGGAGCAGTGGCATATTCTCGGAAGAGTGGCGGGTTCTCAGCGTATGTCTCGGCTTCAATGGATCGAATCACCTGTCGGCCTTCAGAGATGTAGGATTTCAACTCGCGGCAGGACTAAGTGGGCGTCAGTATACATCTAGGTCGAGGGGGAAGAAGGCAGCTTACATGCTGATACAACTCAAGCATGGGCACAGTACAGAAACCGGCAGCGACACAATCTTCAAAACTGGCCGTGGCGGCCTTGGACTCGGCAGAGAGCCTAGCTGTTCTCTTACTCGCACTCCCAGGGGCTGTAGTATGCCTTCGTTTTGTCGTAGTCAGCTCCATAAAATGGATGTTAGTCATGTTCAAGAAATCCTGTAGCTGAATAGGCTCAAACTCGGGCTCGCTATCTTGTGAAGCGACGTTTCCCTCTTCAGCTGATGTTGACTCTGTACTGGAGTTGAAAGACTCCGGTACGTCCTTCGCCGGAGTAAGCGACAAGGAGCTGGTCTTCAGCTCCTGGCTTGGAGTCGTGCTACCTTCAGTGGGTGGTGCAATGGCAGATTTACGAGCAGGTGAGCGCTTCAGATGTCCCACCGTCTCATCCTTAGTCGGCGGTGCTGGAAGTTTAATGCTCTTCACTGGGCTGGCGTTGCGACCCTTCAAGCGCTTAGGCGTATTGTCGGCGTCCTCTTCATCATCCTGATCTAGCTCTACGGGTCGCTTGCCCAATAAACCCCGAGCAGCACCCACGTGTAAGCTCTTGCGGCCGCGGAGCTTGTTCTTCTTTGGTGTGAGGCTCGAAATCATATCCTTCAAATTCGCCGTAGGATCCAACTGCAGCGGGGGGATATGACCATCCTCCCGCTTCTCCTCTTCTTCACGCTCCATGTCGACTTCTTCTTGAAGTTTCAGAGGATCCTCGAAGCGCACTCCCGATTTGGGCTGCTCCTGAGGAACGAAGCGCGGAGCCTCCTCTCCGATTGACCGTCTTTCATCGAGCATAGCAGCCACCCGAGGCGAGCCTAGGCCTTCTTTGTCAATTCCCAGACCGGATGAACGCCGTTTCTCGTGAGGACGCAATACAAAAAGGGGAACGGCTTCACCGGTCACCGCAGTAGATCCAAAGAGACTCTTGCGGCCAGGAGATTTATCCTTGCTAGCAGAACGGCGGGTCTCGGGCTGAAAAAGCTTCTTCGGCGATGCGCTTCGGTTATTCGTCGTGCTCAAAGGAGTCTTGCTGGGCGTCATGGATTGGCCGGCTTGGGGTGTCGAGTCCTTTGGTGAAGTCAGTGTATTCTTGACTGGTGATTGGTGTGGTGAGTGTGCCGATGGCGTGTTCGACATTCGACGGCTCAGGCTTTGCCTGGTTGATCGAGGTCTTACACTGGCTAAGCTGGGGCTTCCACTTTCGGAGGCGACAGCAGCCAAGTGGAAAGAAACTGGAGATTTTGAGGGGGACTGCCGAACATTCTCCTGGAAGGGAGAACTTCCCGGTTGTTCATTCTCCGACTCTGAATTCGTGTCTCCCCTTTCCTGGTTTTCGTCGACTGCCTCAATGGCCGTTGGCAAGATTCTTCCCATGGCAGTTGTGAGCTCCATTCCAGCCGTTTGGTCGGCGTCCTGCCCATCTCGAGTCCCTGTTGCCGAAAGAATGCCACCAACTGCCCCTGTCATCTCCATGTCTGCATCGTCTTCCATGCTGCCACCATCATCCTCACTGTTCCAGCCAGTGGTATTTGCTTCCTCAGCATGTTGAGCCTGAAATGGTTTGTTGAGAACACCTCCTACAACGGAGGTGAATTCCATTGTCATCTCCTCGTCGCTAGCATTACTTTCGCCGCCTGCGGATCTGGTGGGAGATGTAGATTGTTTAATGCCGCCAATCACATTTGTGAATTCCATTGTTTGCTCATCATAGTCAGTCTCTTCACTCGTTGACTTGCGCCGGACGGTGCTCTGGCGACGACTTGGCTGGATGATACGCCCAATTGCATTCGTTACCTCCATGCTGAGGTCTTCGTCCGCGATATGGGAGGAACCATCGGGAACAGTCGATGATTGAATTGAGGCGTGCGATGGATTGGTATTCTCTTGGTCATGCAAAGCGCTGATATCCTCCCATTCAAAACTTTGCCTTTGGCCCTTTTTGATCCAAGGCTGGAAAGCGCCAGTGATTTCTTGGTCAGCGATCTCCATTGACATCTCTCCATCCTCATCGTAGTCGATGCCTCTCGTTCCAGCTTCTTTAGCTGCTTGGCGTAAGGCCTCGTTCAGGCGGGCGCTGGAACTGGTACTGGAGCCCGACCGATCTGAACGGACACTCGCAGCTGAATGAACAGACAGGTCGTCCATACTCATCGCGGTACTCTCTCCATCAAATCCAGAACCTGAGGAACTGTCATCGTCGTCGTCGTCATCGTCATCTTCCCTTGCAACGTCTTGAATGCCAGTATCCTCCAAGTCATCTGCGGAGCCTCCGCTGAATGGACTAGACGACAGATCTTGGGAAGTTGAAGGTTCATCATACGCTGAGGTTGAACGGTTCTTGAGCTCTTGCAGGTCCGGATACTCCACTGGAGAAAACGCAATGTCTGATTCCGCTACAGTGTCAGGTGTAGACGGGGGTTCTCTCTGATTGGATGCTTGTGTTGGCGCTTGGTTCTCAGCAAGGGATGAAGCACGCCGTGTAGAGTTAGAAGCAGATGAGGATGTGGAATCATCAGGAATTTCGACAACGTTCCACGTGTGTAGTGTCGCCTCCGGAGCGAAAGAAACGCGGCGGTTTGCTTTGCGCGGACAAGTGTTAGCCAACCGTAGGGTTCCTAGGAAAGACATTGACTAACCCATCGATTTCCGGCGCGCTTCTCTCTTTTCCAATATAATCTGGCGCTCACGCTCTCTCCTCTCCTTCTCCTCCTGTTCCCTCGCGGCGGCGATCGCAGACGACGCATTGAAGGTATCGAAGGGATTGGCTGGATCTTCCGGGCCAGACACCGGCGGCTGCGCGGGAGTATCAATATCTACCAATAAATCTTCTTTCCTTTGATCATTACTATCGGCCTGGACACCGTCCTGTTGTGCGCCGCGCGCCGGAGTTTGTTTGCGCGTTTCTTCGAAAGACGGAATGTTTCGAACTGGAGAGACAGGAATCGTCGGTTTGAGAATAGATTTGAGCGGGAAAGCCATGGTAGACTAAATTATATTTCAGTCAATATTATATCTTACAAAAGAAACAATTTTGAGCGGCCAGGAAGGTACCTTGCGCCGATTGCCATTTGAATCCTGAAGCGCATCCAAACCACCAGGTCCTAAGCTCTTACTGCGGGACTTTTTATCTTTTCCCGCACGTTTCGCAAAGCCATCTTGACTTTGGACCGCACCTATATCTGTTGTGGCATTCTCTTTATCTATCCCAGACGTCAATCTCAAACGAGGTACATGGGCAATGGAACGGCGAGATCGCGGACGACCCGACCCCGCGGAGTCACCTCTGGACGCCATGAGGGCAGGTGAAGAAGAACATAGACAAGAAGATATCTAGGCGGTCTCCAAGAACACTGATCAAAGATAGATTTCTACCCCAGTTTATATGGATCGGGATTGTTCTCAAACAGAAAGTAGCATAACCAATCCAACCCGATCAACAAACTACAACATACATCAACAAGCGCGTCTCCCGGCCGCCGCTCATGTGATCACCCCTGATGTAAACAAACCAAAAAGCCCTAGCCGAACCGCACCATTCCACATCTGGTCTAGTTCCCTCATCGCACACTCACACCACGGAATATCGAGCCATCATCGAATAAATCTTCCTCAACATCGACGTCGACCACCGCCCCGACCCGACACCCCCCTTCGCGACGAATTTTATATCCAGCTCGACTTCGCTTCCTCGTCGACCTGAATTCTCGCAAAAATGGCTACCGAGTTGACCGTCCAGTCGGAACGTGCGTTCCAGAAGCAGCCTCACATCTTCCTCAACTCCAAGACCAAGGCGAAGAGCAAGAAGGTCGGCCAGACCCGGAGATGGTACAAGGATGTCGGTCTGGGATTCCGTACTCCCAAGACTGCCATTGAGGGCAGCTACATCGGTATGAGCGACCTACTTTGAGATTTTGCCGGCGCCATCGGATTTCAGACTCGGGACGCAGAGGCTACGATTACCTGGGTTTTGGGGATGAGGAAACCGCGCGAAATATCAAAATGCAATCACAAGAGTCATGGCGCAGAAATTTTGGAAAGAGGAGGCATCAGAAAAGGGGACGATTGCGCGACTGCTTTCGTAACGAAATCCAGTGCCATGGTCTTTATCGCGGAGTTTCGAGTTCCTCATCTCCAAAACTCGGGGATCAAATTCTGTTGGCTAGGCGTCGCGGAATATAATCAGATTGCTAATTTGGAACAGACAAGAAGTGCCCCTTCACCGGTATGGTCTCCATCCGTGGTCGTATCCTGACCGGCCGTGTCGTCTCCACCAAGATGCACCGTACCATCATCATCCGCCGTGAATACCTTCACTACGTCCCCAAGTACAACCGTTACGAGAAGAGACACAAGAACCTTGCCGCTCACGTCTCTCCCGCTTTCCGTGTTGAGGAGGGTGACTGGGTCACCGTCGGCCAGTGCCGTCCTCTGAGCAAGACTGTATGTGAAATTACTCCAAGCAACGACTCCGCGCGATATTCTCCGGCAAGCGGTTGACGCTGAAATGGAAACTATCATCGAGCGGCTGGTCATCCCGCGATCAGAAACATTTATGTTAACTTTTACTCTGATAGGTCCGCTTCAACGTCCTGCGTGTCCTGCCCCGTACCGGCAAGGCCGTCAAGTCGTTCGCCAAGTTCTAAACGTCGATAATGGATGAAGGGGGTGTTCACATGGAAAATAAAACCTAGGGCAGTGGCGTGACTGGATATAAGCGAAATGATCTGGCGGGTTGGGATTGTTTTAACGATTCTATGTCCCAGGTACCCTCCTGCAGGAAATATCCAATACAAAAAAATTTGATCCTCCTGTGTTACATACAATTTCTACAGCAGACCACGGAATAAGGGATTATCACGCACGGCAGCTTTGGGAATGGAATTTTCTTGTCATGACTTAGAATCTGGTTTATTCTGTCCTCGTATCTAACGGCGAGAGGGGGAGTAGATAGATACATAATCTTGTCCTTCACTCTGCTCCTTTGAAAAGGGCCTTCTGGGTGCTTTAAAAGACCCCGTCTCGAGCACGGAAGTTCGCGTACGAATGGTATCACGAAGACAGCATGTGCCCAACGACAACCACTGGCTAACAGTGATCTAAACTAGTGATTGAATCTTCAGCGAAAAAGGTGCCTCTACCAATGAAGACCCATCAGACAACATATAGGAATTATTCCCTCCTCTGAAAAGTCATTCGACTTGCATCCGCTTGCAAAGTAGTGTTCATCCTGAGAGGTTCTATGAAATTGTTCTCATCAGTCGAAACCTCACTTTAGAAGACGTTTGATCCTCTCGCGATCCGTGGCGAATTGATCCTTCAGGGGATGCTCAGGTGTAGCCAGATCATGCATATCTTCCCCCACAATCAGGTCCCCAAGCTCTTCAATTTCTTCTTCGAAGTCGTCCAAGACAATCACGCTGGATTCTGGAGAGGAAGACTCAACTTCTGTAGGAGTTGATTGCTGTGACTCTTGGGCCAGAAACCAGTTTCCAGTAGCGGCATTGTAGAGTTCAATTCGATTGACGGGCCGAGTGACCAGGGGGGTAATAGACGAAACAGAGTGAGCTAGCCGAACTGGACAAGGAGTGTCAAAGGTGGACTGGATGTCGTCATTATCATCATCACCTTTCTCTTCTTCGTCTTCGTCGTCTTCTTCTATCTCTTCGAATCCCTCTTCATCCTCTTCATGCAAAACGGTGTCATGCTGAACAAGATAATCTGTTCCAATTCCCTTGGCCAGAGATCGTCCTGCAGGCGTTGCATTCAGGTTGACTGAATATGGACTGAAGGTTGTTTGAGGTAACTGGGTGAATCCAACTTCAAGGCCTTGGCAGAATTCCTGCCAGTCTCCCTGTTTCCGTAATTGCCATGACCTGAGGATGCCCTCACCGACCATCTGATAATATTCTTGGGGCATATTGATAAGATGGAGTAATTTACCCAAGCTTACACCAGAAGCATGATCCAGATTCATACTGCCGGTCTCCTTTGAAAGAACTGTTCGTAGCTTTCCGCGAACACGTTTATAAGAGGCAATCCTGCCAAGTTGCAGAATTCTGCTGATATCTTCATGCTTTTGTGTAATTTGGATGAGCGTAGTGATCTTAAAGGAGCAAATTATCGCAGGCGTCTGAATCTCTCCCCAGATAAGGTATTCTCCAATTCCGCTGTAGCCCGGGATTCGGATCTTATTCTGCTGTACAAGGGCTTTGGCGAAGTACAGTGGGCCTGTAAGCTTCCTTGTATCGATGATGGAGACCCTAGCCCCTTCCTTTCCCCGCATTGCTCGGTGGATCGGGGCTAGGATAGACTGGAAAGTGGAAATGAAGGGGCTTGGGTTACTGGTGATGCTGACATGGTTCAGGATATAATTGTTAAATAACTCCGGGGTAATGTCTTCAGGGAGAAATGGGCTGACCTCAGAGTCAGCAAATAAGCCAGCGATATATCGCTTTGGGGTATTGATTCCCTGCGAGTCAGCGTTCGACCATCTATACAGAAGCGGCGGTAGGTAATCACTTCGCGGAGATGTCGAGGATGTCTGTTGCCTACATTAGCTACCATTACTTCTATATGCTTCTCACACCCACATTAGGCTCAGCTGCATCGTCTCCTTGGTCTAAGCACCACCAGCAGACCTTTCCACCATGTTTGGTCAGGGGCTGCACTGATGATGATTGCCCTTGCTTGTTGATACTGAGAGTGTGGCAGCCTGACGAGGAGTTCTTTTGGTGATCAATAATTGTAGCTGTGAGGGGCGAAAAGTCCTGCTATCCATGTTTAGAAAACTTCCCTCAGATACTCATGATATAACTTACGGTACTTGAATTTAAATTGGGAGCTGAAGTTGAAGCTGAATTAGGAGCACTGGTCCCCAGCAATGTTGCTGTCCTTGCGTAGTACCCTGACATGTCTGTGTCATCGATTTCCTTCTCAACAAGCGAGACTCCAAGTGACTGAGCAACATCGATGATCATGTCCTTAATTGGTAGCCAATCGACGTGAGTGAGAGGAGATTTATGGACACGGCCCCAAATAGGATTCCCAGCTCGCTTCATCCAGTTCCATTGAGTGTCCAATCTTGTGCTAGAAGTTCTCCCATCAGTGAAGCCGCTGTTCTCTAAATCCCTTTTGTATTTAGCATTGAAGATATCCTCAAACGCAGTACTGTCCTCAACAAAAAATTTATGGAGGCAGCATAGGAATACCCTTTTTTCATCATTCCACGGCACTCTGGGGAGTCTAGTCGAGAAGTCGAGTTGCATTTTGGAGGCTGCCTTTCAGGTAGTCCACAGGGATCTTTGGGAGGGGTGGAAAGTAAAGGTATCGCGAGAGAATGGAGGGAACGCAGGTGGAATATTGGGTAAGATGAAGAGAAAGTAGAGAGTACGAGAGTAGGAACCAACACAAGTGAAAATATTCCGCAGAGGCGATTAGTGGATGAGAGGGTGAAGAGAGCGGACCAACACAAGGTAGATGCTAGACTGAGGGCTGTAGTGAGGTTTATAGTAAAGAGTACTCTGTAGTCACAGAGATCTGTAAAACGATTGGGGCAGCTGGCTGGGATGGCACACTGACCATTTGACGTAAAGGTGTCATGAAAGTATGGTCATGAGGTCGTCAAGATTTCATATCCATAGTCAGGTCAAATGAGGGTCCTGAATTTGCTCTAAACCAAGAAGTGTCGAGCTTCAGTCGAGGTACGGGACAAATGCTGGAGGAGAGGTCTGGCCTCCCTTGCCCACTGCCAATTCTCATGTTTAACAACGTCCCACTCTAAAAGAGTGAAGTGAATGAACGGTGACTTGTTCAACTGTGATCAAGGCACTAAGATAGGAGTCTCAACGTCGCATGGATTCTGTGAGTGTCACAAGAATACATTCACTGATGGGGATATTTATATTGCAGCCCATATTGCAAAACTATGCTTGTTTGGAAACTTTCCACTTGATTAATAAATTTAAATGTCCATAAAGTGCGTTCATTGTGAGAGTGAAATAAAATGATTAAGAGCTAGCTCGAGCGTGAAATGTTGGTTGGTATACTTCAGGTTGTCAAACTGCGTCACAGATGTTGGCGCGATAGTCGTGCCAGCGCTAGTCATGTTGGAGTAGCTGGAAAATCATCATCATCCTTAGCCAGGAGCTCCACCGCAACTCATTCGTCTAAGAAACACCACCGAGCCAACGAGCTCAAGCTCTTGCAGTAAATCAACCACCAGCACCAGGCTCTTCATCAACCCATGCGATTTAATTTCTATTAAAATTTATAAATCCGGCTTTTCCGCCTCGATTGACGGTCTGGTGACCAGTGCCCTCTTATCTCTGTTCCTGACTACTCCGTGAGAACCAGTGGCTCCGCAGCATGGCCTCTTGAACCATCATGATCAAATTTGGTGCTCATGTACACATGTCGAACTAGAATCCTTTCAGATACAACTTTCAATTCTCTTCGCTCCGCAGGCACGGTTCTGAAGTCCCAACGAGCCGCGCTATTGGGGCCATCGCGACTGTCCCCTGATTCTTATTACTACCCAAACTCGGCACCTAATCATTGCTGACAATGTCTCAAAATTTTGAGAAATCCGTGAAGGGGGCTACCAAGGTCAAGGTTAGTCAAATCAATTTATTCGGTTTCGTCGATACCGTCTCGGATGGTCACTAATACGTTTCTCGATGGACAGCTTGCGGCTCCTAAATCAAAATACATCGAACACATTCTGGTTGCGACCCACACGGGCGAGGCTGGTGTTGCAGAGATATTCCGGACGCTGCAACTTCGACTCCGCGATTCAACATGGACAATTGTGTTCAAGGCGCTAATTGTCGTCCACCTTATGATACGAGAGGGGCAATTGGATGCCACATTACAATTCATGGCGGAGAACCCAACCAAATTAGCAATCAGCGGATACTCAGAAGGTTCGTGCGCAAGCCGAGAGCTTGAATCGACGGAAGCATCTTGACGAATATGCGTGTTCAATGCTGATAGCTCATGCCTTTAGTACAATCACAAGGGCATAACATCCGAAGATATGCCGATTACCTTACGGCGCGCGCAAAAGCGTTCGAAGCTACAAAGACAGACTACGTTCGGAGCGGACAAGGTCGGATGAAGCGATTGACAGTTGAAAAGGGTCTCCTGAGAGAAACAGAGATTGTTCAGAAGCAGATCAAGGCTTTATTACGCTGCGACGTGGGTCCTCACCTTACTGTGACCGGTGCTAAACCCGTGACTGACACTTGGCCATCAGCTTCTGACAGATGAAGTGGAAAATGAAATTACACTCACGGCCTTCCGGTTGCTTACATTGGATCTCCTGACTCTATACTCGGTCATGAATGAGGGTACAATAAATGTCCTTGGTAGGTTCCTTGTCCCGACATGTTGTGACCTGCATTAACACGATCGGTGATTAGAGCATTATTTTGAAATGTCGAGACCAGACAGCGAGCGCGCTCTAGAGATCTACAAGACCTTCACCACGCAAACGGAGGAGGTCGTAAAGTTCCTGGGAGTTGCTAGGCACTTTCAATCCGCAACCAGATTGGAAATACCCAAACTCAAACACGCTTCGACGGACTTGACGCGCCTTCTTGAGGACGATCTCAATGATCCGGATTTCAACCTTCGCCGAAGGGAGTACCTGGCTCGGAAAGGCGCAAAGAATGGTGGAGCAGACACTGCGCTGAAGTCCAGTATTACCGGGGGCCCTCAGAATACCAGTCATATGGGTTCCGCCTCGAGCCGCCCACAAACAGAACCGAACCCACAGAAGAAAACCAACCCTGCAGACTTGATTGACTTCTTTGAACCTATCGAACCCAATCCGCAGCCTACAGCACAACCAAGTACTTTCCAGCAACCGTACCAAGCACCGCAGCAACAGCAAGCCATGCCGTTCCAACCAACGGGCTTCCAGCCGCAGCAGACAGGGTTCTATACCCAGCAGACGGATTTCCAGCAACAGCCTCAAGGGGCACCTTTTGGTCAGCCGACCGGCTTTGGAGAACCCTTTCCTCAGCAAAATAATAGCCAATTTGGACCAGCGCAAGTCCCGCAACCACTCCAGTCTGCAACAACCGGGGCTGGATTCGGCGGCTATTCAGCACAGCCGCAGACATATGGATTCCAAACCCACCTTAGCCCCATACCGCAAAGCGGCGTTGCATCATTTTCTCAGCAGCAACAACCCACATCGGGTGCTCAGCAGCAACCGCAACAACAAACAACCAATCCTTTCAGGCAGTCAATGTTGATGAGCACACCAACAGGGACTGCTGTGCCAGCGTCTCCGTTGAGCCGCCAGAACACGAACCCTTTTGCCAGACGCCTATCGACGGTGAATCCACAATTCACTTCAGGTCCTACTGAGTCGACTCCTCAGAGTCCAGCGCAGCAACCGCTTCAGCCTCAACGAACAGGGACCAATCCCTTTGCTCGAAGCTCCTCTGTTCCTCCCCAGCAGAGTCAGGGGCTGCAGCCTCCAGCCGCAGCACCTTTACGACCGAACCCCACTGGAAGCACAAATCCCTTCCGACAGAGCGCCTTTGTGAACCAACAAACCGGCCAGAGCTGGCATGTTGGTGGTCAACAGGGTACAATGGGAGGCCTCGAACAGCTGGAAACATTGCCAGTCTTCCCACGGCCCGGGATGGCCTAGTATAGCAGGTTGTCGACATGCATAGTCACCGAAAGTGAAGTCCAGATGTCTGACCGAGGACATAGCGTGTCTTATCATTTGTTTCTGTGTCTTTATGCGTCCGTCTTTCAGCTGATTACCATATACCTGTATTTCTTGTCCGCCTGTCACTGACTCCTGCATCAAGGCTTCTGGTGTTTGTAACATTGAGCGAGTCCGCAGCGCGGGCGCATTTTCTCGTTAAGACATGCAGCACATAGCAGATAATTGAGGACGATATATATAAGTTGCGTCGGTAGCGTAAAGGTCAGGGTGCGCATGTGGAAAGTCCCGACACATATTTGGTTTGGTATGCACCTAGTATGTTTGGGACGAAAGGGTATCTCTACCTGGACGATATACAATCAGGAGCACATAGTCCCTACGTTCACAATACTCAGAATTCACACCATCCCTAGGTACCTATCAAAATGAACCGAGGGTATTCCTGTCACAATTTCTAACTTTCATCCTATTGGGCCAATTTCAAGGAAGATTTCTCTGGTACGCGAAACGCCAACAGATACCGTCCACTCATTACCAATGATCGCCGGTTTATGCGGGACACCTTTGCCTTGGGTGTTCCAACGGTATTACTCTAG